CTAATAATGCTTAATGCAGTTTCCTTATCTGTAGTCACGTATCGATAGTTGCCACGTCAGGTGAGAAATATGAAAAATGATAGGGATAGTTCCATTTATTTAGTGCCTGGTTCACCCTATATGCAGGCTGAGATACGGCTCTGGGATGGGAGATGACTGCAAATTCGTGCTCTGCTGGCACTCTGGGAACGGAGGCACAGCGTCTAGCTTAGTGTTCTTGCTTGGAGCTCACCAGGACCTTAGACAGGAGCACAGTCAGTAAAAGGGGTTTAAAAATAAACCCTGGTCCTTCAAACACTTGTTCACAAAATAAACATCATTCACATGAGTGGTCCCATTAAATCCACAGCATTATCTATTTGCCATAAACTCAGAGTACATCAAGTATTTCACGATCACTAACCTGGGGGATTTTTTCATCAATCTACCCTGAGACAAACTAAAAAATGATTTAGCCTTGAATTAATTACTCCACTATAGCTCTTCTCACCACCTTTCTCAGGCAGGCAGATCTTAGTGGTTATAGATCAAGTTCTCAACTGAAAATGTTTACTCCTGGCTTATACAGCTACCACATAAGTGACTCTTGCCTGTATTACCTGATACTAACAAAAATAGAGATTTTATGTCAAAATATTGTAAAGATTACAATTTAAGAAGTAAAACATGATGAATGTCACATATCACCACCATCCTGAGATTGTGCTTTGCTACGATTAAATCAATAGTCAGGAGTTTTAAAATTTCCCAAATATATGTTATTTTGCATTAAAAAAATGATCAGTCAAAATTCAGAAATGTAGCAATCACTATGTCAAAAATCATCTCATTTTCTTCCCAGATGTACAATATTCCTCTATTGTAATAATGAAGTTTAATGCTCAGGAAATCACATCAGATCAAATCCAATACCAAACAGCTGCGATTCAAATCTCAAATTCTCTCCTTCCAGTCGTCACCCTGAAATTAAAACAATAAAACACGTTACTGATACTGCTTGTTATATTCAAAATAAAACAGTAGCTTAGTCCTTTGCATATATGTTTCACCTTCTGCATCTGCTTTTTCAGCCTTACCTCAGACTGCAGCCTTCCTGTGACATTTCTTACACAGTGTCATAGGCACACAAAAGTCTCCAGGGTGGCAGGATTGGTAGTGCCTGATCTAGCTTGAGCATCTGTTCTTTGTAAGGAGGACTCCCTCATTTGAGTATCCCAAAGCTGCTCATACTTACTCTACCCGCACCACCATCTTCAGTTTTCCTAAGCTAAACAAGGCTGGATCTAGCCAACATCTGAATATAAACATACTACATTATCATAATCACATTTCAAAACATCTAAGGAGTGAAATGTCTCTACTTCTTCAGTTGGCTAATGCCTTCTCGGGAAAAAAAAATCAGCTGTAAATATTTTTCATTGGATTTAAAATTTAAAAGACATTTTTCTATTTTGGGGATTTTTACTTAAATAAAAACAACTTATCTCCACGGGTTTTGTCTCTGACTTTTCTTAACACCTAAACTTAAGTCGGGGCGGAACACAAGAGCAAAGAGAAGTGTTTGTTTAACAGCTGTATTACACATATACTAAAGGAGATCTTTCTTTCAACAGTGGATAAATCTAATAATTTCGGGCTGAATAATATTGGTCCAACTCAAGAACAGGCTGAAATTTCACTGTTGGACAGGAATGCAGAATGTTCTTATTTTCAAAATGTTGTGTCAGCTGCAGTGCAACACCACAAGCAAAAGAGAATTCTAGGAAAATGTAAGCTCCTGTAGGTACCCTATTACTGTAAATAACTTATTTGTTTTGCCAGAAATTTTCAAGACCAAAAAAAAAAAAAACCAGTATATGCTGATAGAGCTTGGAACAACACAAATTCTCCGTGACAGCAATTCCTGAGTAGGTAGAGAGGCAGCCGCCCAATCCCTGGAGAACCCTCCTGCCTGGCCGGGGCCTGCGCTGCTTCTCTTCTGTCACATAGGTGCCTTTTAGCCATGGGGACGGAGGTTAAAAGCCCCGAGCGGGTTTTTACTCTCCAGGTGACACACGCTCAGGCTGCGGTGGAGCAATTCCGACTCTCCAGCCCTCAGCACAGCCCTTCCCCACCTCTCCTCCTGCTGCGCTGGTGCTCCGGTGCCTGAGCAACACCCGCTGCCCCCATCCTGGCCGCCCCGGCCTCGCTGCTGTCGGCTCCCTCCTCAGAGCCCCACGGGGCCGCATGGCAAAGCAGGGCCTCCTCATCTTCCTGGCTGCCTCTTCCTGGCAGGCACAAAACCTGATACTTTCTTGGCAGAAAAACATCTGCATTTCAAGCAGGCTTCTGGGCAATCAGATTTTTGCCAGTCTGATTAATTTATCATCTGATAATTTTTCTAATCATTTTTTTGTCTGTCTATTTTTAAATAGGAATCAGGCCATTTCCCCTCCTTGAGTGTATGTTTGCTTGAAGCTAACAACATGACTTTCAGGCTTATCAGGTTAAAGCAATGAGCAAACAAGACTTCCTTTAGCTGCAGGGCCATCGCAGAAATTATTCTCTAATTTAATACAAAATAATATAGATCATGATTCCATTTCCAGATTTTGCTGATGCCTCATTTTCTCACTCGCTCTCTGATAGGAGAGCATCTACTCTGAGACGTGTGTCTCTGCTGAGCACAATCACGGCCTCGTGTGAGTGGATATTGAGGCGGATGGAGTTTCCCACATTGCGGGGAACCAGCTCTGAGGGACTCCCACTCCTGACAACTCCCTCTCTCCATTGAGCAAAGGTCACCTCTTCAATGGCATGGATGGAGTTTAGGAGCAAAAGGATTCACAAGGAGGCAGGGATGCTCCCCCTGTGGTGTTCCCGGGCCCGCAGCACGGAGGTGTTTGCAGGACACCAGCCTCATTCACACCTTATTGAGAGCAGCAAACTTTTGGGGACCAGCAGCAGGTGCAGAAAGCTCCGCCTGAGACTCCGGTGGGTACCTGGCAGTGTAAGGAACCTTCCTAAACCACCCATCCGCAAGGGGAGAGGGGAACAGAGAGAAAAACTGAAACAAGAACTTAAGAGGAAAAATGAGATTGAGAATTTACATTAAAGGGCCATCTGTGCTGAAATATATCTATTATAGAATTTCAATTATCTTTAATAGCTGTTAGCTATTAAAGCTAATAAAAAAGCTAATTGTAAATTATTGTAAAGCTAATCGTAGCAGAATGGTAGTTCACATTGGAAACATTTCATTTCTTTTTAAAAGGCTTTTTTTTCTTAACTAGAAGTGATTTACATAGTAGAAAAAAAAAAGCATTAGGGCATAAGTTATCCTTCCACTTGTTTTTTTCCCTTACAGCTTCTTTTGCAAATTTGTCTGCACAAGTGATTTTTAGTGTGCCAAGCATGGACAACATGTAATTAACCCATACAGATGCTTAAACATTTTTGTGGCTTTTATCTGCTTCTTTCTGGATGAAAAGATCACAAAGGGTTGTTTTCATTTTCTTAGCTAATGTAGTTACTACAATTAAAATTATATGGTTCAACTCCAGGGATTAATATTCTGGGAAGAATAAATACAAGGGAAACTGCAGGATGCAAACAGCTTAGCAGCTAAGTGTGCTAGCAAGAAACACATTACGTATTTCTTAACCTTTCCGATGCGATACAACCTTTTACAGGGAAAAAAGCATAAGTTAGCCACATGAAACTGTATACACCTACGCTTCCTTCTACATAATCTCTTAGACTACAGACTCATAGACCAGGGGGAATGGATTCAGTAAATGGCCTCTATGTTCCTTCCAGCCCTGCTTTCTATTATTTTAATAATTCTTGTAAGCAGTTTCCTGATCTATTTCTTGAATAAAATTGTGCCTTCTTGACATTAGCAATCTGAGTTTATAAATATTCAGTTTCTGATTATGAATCAACTATGAAATGTATCTTTGATGGCAACTTTTCTAAATACCATCAAAGGCTACTTTCAAATTCACATTATAACCTAACCAGAAGAAAAACCCTTCTTAGCTTTTGAACTTAAAAATACAGGTTTGAGCAAGCTGATGCTATTTTTATATATCTAACTTAAGAAATAGAATTACATCAGTCCAATTAAAGCATTATACAAGAGTAGTACATTAACTTGCACTCCCTGGAAACACAGAGCTCTGGAAGGCAAATCTGAAGACAGTCTTTCGAACCGGGAATTTCTCAGTTATCTTAGAAGATTAATAACTACCTACACAAACAGGTCCTATTTTGCCAACAAGGCAAGTCAAGCTGGAAAATATGCAAACCAGTCCTTTCAAAGTCACCTGTGGTCTGCACCCACTGCATTGACTCAAGGTCTGCGCTTTTTTGAGGCATACACAGCCCACAGAGCTACAAGGAGGGTGGGAGTGTGTGGAAGGATGAGGGAGAGGGAATGCCACTTCATCCTATATTTGTCCAGCTTCTGGCAGAGTCTGCAGCAAAATCTGCTGCAGAGCGCGGCAGCTTCTCTGCTGCTGCCTGCAAGCTGCTGTGCATCTAGCTGCACAAGCCCCTCTGGTGAGCCGTAGCCGTCAGGAATGAAGGGAACAAGGCTGCGTATCCATGGCACTTCCTCACGGGGCATCTGACTCCTTACCTTGGCCTCTGCACATACCTGGAAAGGCCACAGCTGGGCCAGGTACTAGCACCTTCTCTTGTAGATCACAGTCTGTGACCACCTTCCATAAAACAATTCACACAAGCAGCTGATTCACAGGAACTGATACCAAACCAAGCACAGGTTCGGTGAGAAATACACCTGGGATGAGGAGACACTACTGACTGCCTATGAATTATGGCAATAACACAGGCTTAGCTATGCCCCCTGTCTAAAGTTAACAATTAGACACCCCTCAACTCTGTGATACTTTATTCAGTAAGCTCCATCTTTCACTTATTTATGAACACATAAATAAATGCCTTGACACATTATTTACTTAAAGACATTTTATATGGAAGGAAGGTGACCTACCTTTTTATTCTGATTCACATTTACCAAACTGCAACTTCAAAATGCCTTTGCCATGAAGCTGAAGGATCTGGTTGTACTCTTTGGGCATTGCATGAAAACCCGGTTTAGGCAGCTGGTTGTCGTAGTAGTGGTGGCTAATTGGCATCTTCTCTGTGGATTTTGAGAAAGGCCAGAAGCCATATATCTTCACATTCTCACACAGCTCAATAGCAGCACTAGTGATCATAAAACCAGATGACAGTCGGTAGGCTTTCACTCCCTTAGTTCTCCAAAACTGGGCAAGACTCTTCAGGTAGGTGGGGTGAAAAAATATTGCCCTCTGCATTGCTTTGAACTCTTTCAGAGTTTGATATACTTTAAAAGAAGTAGCTGTGTTGCTTCTGTAGGAAAATGCTGGCAATAAAAGGAAAGCATCTCCATAGACTGCAATGTTCTGCAGAAATTCTGTCTTCTTTTTATTAAGCTTGTTGTATCTGGCAAATGCAACATTTTAGGAAAAGAGTGAATGCAATGTACTATTAACATAACTACGCACCGGTTCAGCCTGTCTACATTACAAATCTATATCAACCCAATATATGGGTTCATATTTCCATGTGCTGTTATGAAAACATGACCTTACACCTTACAGAATTGATGTGATAACACAGGAGGTACTAGAGGAGATCAAATTCACTGCTAATGAGACCAGGATGTTTTCAGAGATGCTCAATTTAAGAAGCATCAAAGGAGAATGCAAAAAAGTCATATTCATATTGTATGCAGGTATTTTTGAAAACTCTCTTTTTACATGAATGATATGACAACCCATCTTCAAATCCCGGGTGTCTGCCCTGCATAGAAATAGAAGTACTCACTCTTGCAGGTGAGCAGCCTTGGAGAGCAAAAGATCAGCATGTATTTGAGTTTTGCAGAATCTTAGCTGTTTTTGATTGATAGACTTCTAAAATGGCTGAAAATCTTGACATGCCTGTTTATCTCCCTTGACTTCAAAGGGAACCTGTAGATATCTCTCAAGGCTTAGAGGTCTGACTTCACAGAGAAATACTTCAGTTTCCCTGCAGTCAACAGAAAGACTCATTTATCTTCTGGATAATTCACTGATCCCCCAAATTGTCTTTCCAGAGTTATCCAGGAAGCAATACAAGTCACAACAATATCACTCAGCTCTTTTCTTCTATAGACCCTAAATGTCTGAACACATGATGCTCACATCCATTTTGGGATTTAAAGCACCAAGTCCATTTTTGTAGGTAGCTGTCTATCCAAGTAGGGTGTTTTCACTTTTTTTTTTCTTTCCTTTCCCCACATAGCCCAGTGGTTACAGCAGAACCTGAAAGACACAGTTTCATCTCCTTCTGCAGATCGAGGATATTCAATCCTCTTCTTTTGCAGTATTCATCTCAAGACAGAGAACAGGAATCTGTTTCATTGCCATTCAAAACTCTCATCTGATGGAGGAGTTTCCAGCTGCCTCTCACACAACTGAACTCATGTGAAGGAGTGACAGACATGGGTCCACCTCTCTTCTCAGCCTGAGGGATTTAAGCTTTCAGCTTCCCAAGGAAATGCCATTGCCACTAGACTTGGAAACAGACGGAACGAGACCCTCTGTCCCTCCTGGTGAGCCTGGCCCCCGTGCGTGCTGGTCTCGCAGACCAGGCCAGCACAGAAGGCCTGGGGCTGTGGCCAGGGAGGGTGATGGATAGGAAAACTTCTGGCCTCTAATCCCAGAATTACCCCCATTTCTACTCACTGCAAAATGCACCAAGAGCCTTCAGAGCAACATTCAGATCTCTGCTCTCCCTTGCTAGCTAGAAGCCTGAGCGGCTCAGCCTCATCTTGCTTTGCCTTACAGCTTCATGACTTCTAGGTGCAGCGCAGTTCAAGTCCATCAGGACACCTAAGAACTGACCATCTTTCCTCCAAGAGTGTTCATCCGCATTGTACTGCCTGTCAGACACGGTTCAAAAGCTGCTATAACCTTAGCAATAGTACTATCAGACTAAGCCTAAGTAGAGAAGTAGAAATTAAAATGATTAAAAACAGAAAAAGATCTCTTGAGAAAACAAGCAGCTCTGTTAAATAGTGCCAAGTCATCTTCCTCTCCTCCTTCAAAAGCATTTACAATTTTCCCTGAATATTTAAATAATTTAAATGGTCAAATTCCAAAGTCCTTATACAATCTCATTCATCTTCACACAGACTTAGCAGCTCTTTTCTTCTATGTAACTCCTATTAATGTCAGTATAGCATAATTTGGCTTAAAAATAACTGTAGGTGTGACGGGACGGCACTACAAAGCCCAGAGAAATCATGCATCACTAGTCACCAATGAAGCTGAGTCACAGGACCAAGTTTTCCCTTCTCATATTCTTGTGCAGCCCCACTAACGTCAATGCTAATTTTATTCTAGGGAGAAGAAACAATTCATCTCCATTTAAGTCAAAAAGGGCTGGGTAAGCATCGAAGCACTCCGTACTCGCTGCAGAAACTCAAGCTCTCTCCTTGAGCCAATGACAAACACCTGTTAGTCATTTCTGTGCTTATTGTACTGTTTCTTTCTTGATTTTCAGCTAAAAGGTCTTTGCTCGATGTTGTCTATTTGACAGATACAGATATGACAAACAATAACATGCAGTTAGATCAATAAGGAGTAAATAATATGTCACGGCAGTCGTTTCCCTAGATAGGCTGCACCTCCAGACTGATGAAGATACCAGATTAGTCAGCCTGGCTCTAAGAGATTTTCTTTTCATCAAGAAGGGAAAGGAAAACTTTGTTAAGAAAAAAAAAGGTGGGTTGGAAGCCTTGGTTTGGATTGAAAAAATGTATTACAGAAATCAGACCTCCATCCTTTTTCAGAAAAATAATTAAGAACATGTGTTTACAGTCCTAATGACAGAACCGGACACACATTTCCAGGCTTTCCTGACTGTGATTATAACCCTTTTTTCAGGAAGGGTGGGGGAGAAAAGGGGGCTGTAGGGATTTTATAGGTGCAAAAAGCCTGGACTTGCAGTGATCAATTTTGCTCTTTCTCAATGTGTGAATGGGTGTCAGCAGAGGCACCTGATTGATTATCTGGGTATTTTTGCCTCCTTTCTGTTATGAAATGTCATGTGAAATAGTTTCCCATTTGGACATGCACATCTTTTACGTGGGAACTAAGCCTCATTAATGAAGTAATCTGTCTGCAACACTCTCTGAGCTGGTGTCCCAAAGGATTTTTAATAAAATCTAAATCATGTCAAACAATTATACACTGTTACACAGAAACAGAACTGCAGGACTACTTACTTCTGAGCTATGATGCTTGGATTAACAGTCACAAGGTTTGTTTTATTGCCAACATCTTTGCTCATGCTTCCTGTGGTTGGAGGGAGGTTACACCTGAAATTGAGAAACATTTACTTAAATAGAAGCCCAGCAGAAATGCCTTGCATTTATTATTTGCAAATTCCTCTCTTGTGAAAGGACATTTTCATGTCACCTTCCAGAGACCTCTAAGCACTTTGCGAATACTAAATAAGACTTACAGCACTTCTGGTAAAAATATTTTATCTACTGTACAGATGGTTAAAATACAGCACAGAGAGCTCATTTTCATAAGAGAGCTCTCACAAATCAGATGTGCAGAGTTAAAATCTCGTAAGGAGTCCATCTATGAATTCCCTACATTATCTGCCAGCAAATACTTCCTCTCTTGCATAAATAATACATTTTCAAAAATTTTCTGTTTAAAAACAATGTATTTGATACCAATCTCTCAGCTGGCAGAGCAATGTTGATGGCTGTTTCATGGGGCAACCTAACTTGCCTGACTAGGGAAATAACAGTTTATTGTAAGGTAAAGAAGTTATTTCTTTTTAAAGTGAGTCACCTAGATTTAGCATCTTAGTATTCAGACTCCGCGCGTTTATTAAGGTCAGTTATCTAACTGTTTTTTATTATTTTGGAAAGACTAAATATTGGTCAAAAAAAAAGAAAAGAGTCAAAATCCAGAAGACAGTGTGGTTGGATAACCCTTCACTTGGTTACTCAGTTTGTTCTTCTGCAAAAAGTAGATTCTGTGAGTCACATACTGACAGAAGTGGGCTGAATCACTCTCTGTTTTTTTCCACAATGTATAGGGGGAGTTGAAACAACTCCTGAAACTAAAAACCTAACTTTTTGGATGGCTAACAGAGCATTACTGAGACAACCTAAGTCTAAGTAAATATTCTAGTAACCTAGCAGTAACTGTAAACATTTAATGTCAATCTTTCTTTTTTTTTTTTAATCTCATCCTCTGAGCCAAGAAGATAGATGCTTTTGGATCGATGGTAAGTGAACAGAAATTTCAGATTGTCAAATAACTAAATTCCACATCCACAGCAAGGTACATTTGTAATCCTAACTTACACCTGCATATAATCTTAGGAACCAAAGTTTTGAGCTCTGCCTTTCTAAGGCAGAAATGAGGAACAACGTCCGGGTCTTTCCTCACTGGCACAGACTGGCACTGGCACACTTCCAATCCCACCATGCTTCTAGAAACACTCCATGCTTCAGTAAGATCCAGCAGCTCTTACCTAAACACAAAGTCGGCACGATCGATTTCAGCTCCACAGCTGGAATTCTTGAGAATGCCTCCATTTCCAACCACTGCGCAGTTCTTGAAGGGATAGGCTGAAAATGGAGAGGACTGCAGGCAAATAAAAAGAAATAGCCGAAGTTTTATATCTCTTTTGATTGTTTCTTTGTATACTTTCTTTTTCTTTCTTTCTTTTTTTTTCTTTGAACTTGCAGTGGCAAGGAATCCAAAGCATGATATGTGCGATCCGTTTGTATTTGCAGGCTTAATCCAGTACATCCCAGGGAAAGCACCCACCATTTACCCACCAAGTAGGGCTGATTCCTTCACTCAGCCTGTGCTTCTGACTGCAAAGGCGCTCCACATCAGTGGCAGCTTTATCCTCAAGCTAGTTTTTGCAAGTTCTATGCCTAAGCCTGCACTGGAAATGGCATGGGAATAAGGGGACTATGAAATACTCATTAAAGACTGAAGTACCTTTGAAAATGGAGATGAGAAAAGCAAGGCAAATCATCTCAGAGGATTCAGTCTATACACATCATGTCTCGTACTAAAAACCAAAACACCTTAAGAAGCAAGGTCGGCTACCAAGAGAGGCTGTAAATTGTGTTCAGAACTCCACCTATATTCTGAACTACAGTGCCCTGTCCAAGCCTCCCCTCTGCAGAGAAAAGCTAAAAGAAAAAAAAGTCCTGCTAGGTGAATGCAGGATATATAGGGAATGAAGGGGTCCTTCCAGCAGGAAAAAAGAAAAAAACAAAGCAGCTCTATTTTTCATCCAAAACATTGATTATACTGCAATTATAATAAGAGTCAAAGATATAGTTCCTACCACAGGCAGCATCCTAAAAATGTTCTCTGTGATGAGGATGGTCTTTTTGCTCTCCACCTCATAACTCATGTTACTTCCCAGTGGGGTGTTGTTTTGAGAAGCAACAAAATTGTGAACTGCATCACAACAGGAAGCTAATTCTGACCTGCAAAACGAACAAACAAAACCCACTCAAAGACCAGTAAATAAGTTTAAAAAAGGTGGTAGAGAACTAAGAGAATGACAAACAGTTCTAATTAGCTAAGTACCAAAAGGCCATATGAACCCTTTATAACCGTGTTTCCTTTAGCTTCCTTTGTAGAGTAAGTCAAAAAAAGTTCAGAAAGTACTCAGTTCAAGAACCCCTTCTCTTATCCTATTTTTCTCTCTCTTTTGCCCTTTTTCAACTGGTCAGAATAAGTCTTATCATCATCTTACCCATAATCAGTCTTATCTTTATTACCAATTGTTAAGATTATCTTAGAAATGCAGGGAGTCTTCAACTAAAACCAATGGTAGGCTTTATAAAGAAAATATGATTCAGTCCCCAAAGAATTAATAAAAGGATTTCAATTAACATAGAACAAATGACTATAAGAAACCAAAAGGTTGAAGAAAGAAAGAACCATGAAGACAAAAGGAAATACTGGCTATAGAGTTTTTCCTACTGAACAGCTAGATGGCTACAAGTCAATTAATTATTCATTCATTTGCTGGGCACAATATCACAGATGCTAAGAAAATGATATGACAACCTACAAACAAAGAAGATAGATACCCTCTGTGTGTTGGACAAATAGCCTAGAAGCTACCCAAAATACCAGGCAGAAGTCCTTAAATAGACAGAGGGCAAGAGGTTCCCTCATTTAAACATTACGTAGGAGTGAAGTCATGCTGCCACCAAACTTCATGTAAATGTTATGTATGGAAATATCCTATATTATTAAGAAACAGCGTAAAAAGCTCCACATGCCCTTTGAAATCAAACCTAAAGCCTTGCGATGCATTTAGCTGTAAGGAATGTAGCGATGCTATCTCTGCTACCCTGGATCCAATTTTTCAGACTGTGAGGCTAAATCATTACTTATCATTTGACAGAACATACCTCTCTCATTAGGTGAGACATTAAAAGAAATACTATCCATTTAGAGAAGAAAATTCATTGATCACAGAGTTGCTTGGAATTTTGAAAAGGATAGCATGAAAGGGAATAGATAATTGTTCCTTTCCTCACTGAGAAGGATTAATTATGAAGAAAAAAGAATGTTTACAGGAACAGCCAGTGGAAAAGAAAAGCTTTATTTCAGGCTTTTTCAGTGAGTAAGGTAAAACAAGCCCTGGGAACAAGTTAAACAATGCAAGCTAAATTCCACCTGAAAGTAAGCTTTACTATAGACACAGATAGGAGAAGTTCCTTCTTTCGACTTTATCAACAACTTACAGTGAGCTAATACTCAATTAAAGGAATATTATTTGTTTCTGGTGGAAATTAGATACAAGTAGCAAATTCAAAGATCCGTGTCTGCCAGGATCTTGCCCCTTGCTTTTGGGGTGGGTTTTTATTTTCCACCGATGGTGGATACCATGAATTCAGATGATGCATTCTTTCTTTTTATTACTCATTCCACAGGAATTAGTGCTTCATTAAAAGCAGAAACACTCTGAAGAAAAACAGGTACCAGAACTCATAAGAAAGTAAAAATTTTAATTAATATTATGGATCTATTGTGGGAGTAAAACAAACACAGGCTAATTCAGAAAGGCAGTGAAAGCGAGGAAATACATATTGATTAATGATGCATTTTCTTATGTTACCTAATAGCCTATGTGCTAAAGGCTTAGACATACCAATAGCAATGTCTTGCATCAAGTCTTACACAGAATTCCTCGGTGCCCACTTATCGATGTGGAAAGCTCTAGCTGCAACAGATATAACCTGCAGACCAAAAAAAGCCACTGGAAAAATATTCAGCAACCTGTTCGTATAAGGTAGAATGAGGTACCTCTAAAATTTACAGCAAATGATGAGATTGGTTAGAGATTGGGTGGTTCAAGTAATTATTTCCACAACCATCATCTCTAGTGTTAATCACATATGTGATATGTATCAAGAGGCAATGACACCCAAAGAGCACAAACTTCATAAGCCTGAGACATGCACTGTAGAAATGGATCCTTTTAAAACGCATGGTATGCCAAGTGTTGCAAAGCTAAGACAGTGTTTTAATCTGGGCATCATGCTATCTGGGAAGAGAGAAACTGGTAAAAGCTACAATACAAAGCACTTCCCAGCCAGATGATGAGATAACAGACAAGGGTTGGAACCATAACAGCACCAAACGGTACCACCTGAAATCAACCTCTGAATTTCCTTCGGAAGGATGGAAAGTGATCCATGTTGTCTGTGGAGTTATGGCCAGGTGAAGATGTATGGGATATGGAACAGCTCTTAGAAGACAGGAGGAGTCCAAGTAACTGCTTTAGGCTGCAGTTGGCCCTGCTAATTTCTGATGTGGGAGGGCATGCCTTCATGCTGCATTCCTCCTACAAGCAGCTGCAAATGGACTGAGACTTCAGAGCTCTTTTTGAACTCTAAGATTAGCATCAGCCACACTTATTTCTAGGGCCAAGACAAGCAAAATGGAGCTGACTGTGTTATCTGCAAGTTTCACTTGCAACAAATAAGGAACAAAATCAGAATATATAACAAGTCTATTCCAGTTGGACTGGTAATATATACTTCATAAAACTGAATGAGTACAGTCATGATAATCCTAATCAATAAACTGTAGAAAAATATGTTGCATATGTCTAAGCAGGTTTATTCATATTGAAGACAATAGAGAGCCATTGTTGATTGGGAAATATATTTTGTGAATTTCTTCCTTCTTGGAACAACTTCCATGGCCTCAGCTCACAACTGTGACCAACTAGGATGGAACTCACAGCCCACACGGCATCCAAACAATTTCTTCAGGTTTGCAGATGCTGAGAACTTCAGAATATCCTGTTTTCTCAAGCAGATTATACAAACACAGAGACAACTAAAAGAAATAATGACGTTTTCAAATTTTGGACTAATTGTATAGATCATCCTTAGGCAATAATACAAAACCGCTGCCTTTACTCTTCCTGTTTTCAAAACCCTTTGCATGATGCAAAAACTCTATGTGAAAAAAATGCATTATTTAGTTTAGAGGAAGCTGGATATATACGTATCTGCAGTAGTTTCTTTGAAGTTTCTGTAGTAGCTGCATAGCCATGAAGCTCTGTCTGAATTATTTTTTATATATATAATAATATACATATTATTATATCCTTCCAGCTGCTGAAGGTGAACCAGGGTTAAAGAAGTCAGAGGTTAGGGCTAACACAGTTTCTCTGCAGATCCCCAAACCAGCACAGTTCTTTTCCCAAGCGGGATGTGAATAATCTGTAATATTTAATAAGGAAGAAATCGGTCTTTATGCAAAGAGCTGCTGCGGAGTTTAAAGATTCCTTACTCCTCCACATTACTGATACAAGCAACAAAAGGACATTTGCTTTATCCTCCTGCAGTAAGTACGTAGTTTTCATTCAAATTACCTTCTTTCATTAAATAAGATGTTTAGCTAAAGTCATTTTGTTCTATAACTTTTTTGTATCTTATTCTGATAAATACTTAGTGTGAAAAGGCACTTGCTTCTGAATCAAAATGTTACATAGCCTCATATTTTGTGACACAGACAGCAATTTTCCACTGAATCTTTGTCTATTCCAACCTAGAATTGGATCCCTAGGCCAGAGAGTAAATGTGGTCCTCAAAGGGTTTGATTTTCTGCATTGATTTTCTAAATATCTCATATTTTTACAATGAAAGATCAGTTGCCTTGTTTATTTTTAAAAGGCTGCTTTTAACAGATCAGATGATACTTTTTTAAAAAACTCATGAAGATAACAGAACCAGGCAGGGGACCAGATCCAGCAGAATCTGCCCTAACTTTGTGAACTTCACAGGGTGGCTTTTGTGCAGCCTGCACTGCGCTGTGCAGCACAGGTGGCTGTAGAGCCCGAGGCCAGAGGGTATATTTCATTATTGAGAACAGAAATATGAAAGATTTCCCTATGAATATACATTGGACTAAACTGAGGTGGGGGGAGTGGAAAAATAGATAGGGACAGATGCTGCAGAAGTACTAAAATATGCAAAATTGTTCTAAAGAGTAGATGTTCAGTTGCCCTCTAAGGCTGCTCGGGGAAGGGCAAGAAGAAACCACTTTAATTTGCATGAAAGAAAGTTGAGGTGCAATATTAAGGAGCACAGCGAAGTCGGTTGCTGTAGAAGGCTGCTGAAATAGGAAGCTGCAGAATTCCATTGACTCAAGAATTTCATTAGACATTTTACCAAACACAGTTCAGGAATGGCCTATATACATTGGAGTCTATCTAAGAAAGATGCACTTCACAGGGAGTCCAGAGACAAGACAGCCTGGAGATCCCTTCTGCCTCTGCATTTCTACAAATTACAAGTTCTTTTCAGTTGGCCTTTTATAGCCATCTGCAGTAAGCAGCAAACAAGTGACTGTTTGTTTGCAGAAGCATATCGCAATGTTCCTGCTCTAAAGCAGTTGCACGTTACCCACACCAGCAGTGTTTGCCAAGTCAGATCCCTTTGCAGATCTTTAGCTATAAAAATGACTCAAAACATCACATAAAATAGCGCGGCACGAAGTAAGAAGAGTAAATATTCAAAACTGTAACTATTGCAAGCAGTTTAAGTGACAACCATGTGCTTAGCATGTCTGATAGTACTACGGTTTGCAATATCATTTAAATAAAAGGCAAAGTATTCCAAGTAACAAATGTTTGGCTTAGTAATGACCTGGGAAAGTCTATCTTAAAATTTGCTCTAATAGTCCACTCTAATATGTCCATCCTGTATCATTTTTCAGTGAGCAAGAAATTATCTTATTCTACTGCACTGGGGCTGTAGACAATGTTGGTCATTTCTCAAAGCTTTTTGTCAAGCCCAGTCAATACTGGGAAATCAATGCTTTCTAATAGTGCAATATTATGACATATTCTAAACTTTGGGAAAAAAAGAGTGCTTAAATCTCATGTCTGAAACAGCATCTGTTGAGAATCTCTGCCCTGCTGACAGCCCTTAACAGTCCAAAAATGTAGTAA